AAAAAAAAAAAAAAAAAAAAAGCTAAAGCTAAGCAAACATAAAGGAAGTAACTTTTTTCAAGTAGCAGATAATTTGTAAAAGCAACGTTTCTATCAGTTAAAAAAAAACATCAGTGAACACACAAACTGTGTGTGTGCAGTTTGTCATATGTCAGATATTGGGTGTGTGCATGTGACATCATGTTTTTTCATATTGTTACACATGCAGCTAAACAAACTGAGGTGAACTAACTATGTTATTTAAAGCTTGCATGGAAATCCTCTGCAAGTTAGTGCAGGATAAACAGGTTAGTTTGTTAGTTAGTTTGCTGCAAAATCAGCCTCTACAATAAAGACAACAGAAAATAGATATATATTTTCTTTTCTTTTTTTTTCTTCACATTCAAGCTGATTATAATCAGAATTAGAAGTATTAAAAAATATATACTAAAGTTTGTATTCCCATCTACTGATATTATTGTATCATTATGTTAACATAGCACAAGGTTCAGTTAGCTTTGCACAAAAATAGATGCTCACTCAAAAGCAGAATTTGTCAGTGTGTTGTTCAGAGCCGTCACAATATCAGATTTTCACCATACAGTTGTCAAGTCTCTGTAGCGATTGCTGTGCAACAGCAAAAAAAACCCACCAAAACAATAGCCTGTCATTAACATGACATAATTTGTCTGAAATGTGTCAGCCATGATCATATGACATTAAAGTATCCAGATTACAAATGCAATGTCGATGACTTTTGGGGTGACTGTGGGTTTGTGCTCCACCCCACGGCTGTATGTTTCCCGATTTATGAAATCCTGGAAACACCCCTGCTTATACCTTCTTTTTTCTCCAATTCGTCTCAGGTTTGGAGACACATTTATCTGCAATAAGATAAACCACATGAGGCAGTAGCTTTGATATCACTTCTTTTTCTTGCATCCTATACATCTTCTAATGATATAATGTGGCATAGGATTCAGAATGAAAAGAAACTTCTGAATTATTAATCCAAGCAGTTTTTCACACTGGGAAGATGCTTCTTTATTGACTGTAAGAACCAGAAGAGTTTTGAGTGCTATAAGATTATATGCTGTTTGTGGGGAGTGTGATCGGTAGGAGTTCTAATTTAACTGTATTGTTTGAGCACATTAACTAAACCACATGCCATAGATGGGAAAATGTTGCTTACATCGCTTCACTGAAATTGGATATTCTCCAACTATAAGATCTCTGACGGTTGTTTGACATCATGTATTATGCCTGCCTGGATGTTTTGTTTGACCACAGTGATATGAGCACACTGAGCTGTGGGAGGAGTCTGAGTGCGACCAACCTGACACAGTGACCTCGATGACCTTGAAGTCCATCTGTGGGATGATGCACTTATACAAATTGCTGTCTGATATCTGGATGCTCTTCAGGAGGACAGAGACGTTTCCCTCTATGTACAGATGAGGAAAGCTCTGAACCTGCCCTCTAAAAGTCTGATGTTGAAAGCAAACATCTGTGTTGCCATCAGTGATGTCCAACAGGATTCTGCCTTCTCTGTCCTCCCAAAGAACCTCAAACCTCTGAGATAAACGCTGCAGCTCGGAGCAGATGCAGGGCAGCAGGACGTCATGTCCAGCCGGAGTGCAGACATCCAGAATGCTCACTGACAGATACACAATGTGTGTAACAGGAATAGGAAAATATATAAAAGCATGGCTCAGTGTGAGCTACACATGAGATAATGTTTAGCAAAGCCCCTCACAGATCCCAGTCTGATCTCTCTGTTCTGAAAACATCAAACACACTGATCACTGCAGACGTCTGCGGGGGATTTAAACCCTTCCAGTGATTGAGAACGAAAAAGAACACAGAGGAAGACTCACCTTTGTCAAAGCTGATGATGAAGATGGTGAAGAGGACAGCGGGGCTGTAAAGCAAAGATATAATGTGTCAACACACGACTGCAAATATATCTCAGTGAGAGCAGGTGAACTACAGGCCTCTCCCCAGTCTCTGAATACTGCAGTTTGGCTGAACAGGGCACAGATACAGGCCACTTTAAACTCTCAGCAGACCACAGGTGAGGCAGCGTTTTAGCTGCAGACATTAAATTGGATATGTTTGAAAAGACCCGAGGAACTCACAGACAGCGCATACAAATAGAGAACAGGCTCTGGTGATTCTGCAACTTTGCAGTCACTGTGTTTTCCATGCTCCCCTCCGACTGCAGCTAGCTACAAAGTGATCAATCCTAGCTATTTTGTCAGCCTTCCTGGTGCTGCCCACTGAACTCACTGCATTTCCTGTGCAGCAGAGCCGCAGACCACACCCTGCAGCACACCCAAGGATTTGTGTGGCAGTTTCACTTTTTTTGCAATGAACGAACACAAATTATATTCTGACATCTTGAGATTACAACTAATTCAAAACTCTGCCATTCATTTGTCCCATTGGAGCTTAGTAAGGCATCATATGCCCCGTCGGATACTAATATCACACAAAGTTGCTTGACTGGGCAAAAATGGGCAACTCTTATAACCTGGTAGGAAACACAAAGAATAATAAATTTCAAGTGTTGAGTTTACAACAAAAGCCTCAATTGTGTCATTTATTACAGTAAATCACAACGAAAGAGCATTTAAAAAAGGCATTTTAATAAGTTTCAACCAGAAGTGGCTGTGATGGAGCCAAGTGGTACAACTGGATACATATAATTATTATATTTCTACATATACAATTATAGTATTGATATATTTAAGCAGCTGAAGTTGGAGCAAAAAGTAAAAAAAAAAAAAAGCATGTGAACTAGACAGAAATGGCCAGCATAGAGGGTTAAATCATATTTGATCAGAGACTGAAGCTTTGAGCAACACCTAGTGGCCGTATGACACCGCCGCTCCAATACAAGCTTCGTAATTAAAGGTCCATCGTCCATGAACCACTGTTTTAAATCGTCTTCAGTGCAGAAAAATGCATGTGACCAAGGGCGTCACATGACTGGATCAACACTATCAAATGAAACATAGGGTTGTGCAGTCAGCTGAGCGCACCATCCGCTCCGAGCTCCCTGACCTGCACTCAATCTACAGCAGGCGG